TAGGCTAAATGGAAAAGCTAAGCTCACAGCAAGCAAACAACAGTAATCGTTCAAAATCTTCCCAAGTAATCCCTAGGAAGTATTACTGTGGATTCCAATTCTTACTTTTATTGCTACAAAGATCAGGATTCTTTTTCTTATTTACATGGACCTTAAACCCACAAAATAATAAGTTTGCATAAAAGCTGCACACTTGATTTTCCTCAGGGAGCTTAATGTGGTGTAAACAGCCTCTCTCCTCCAATATTTCTCCACAACATTCCTATGAGATAGGTTGGGCTGGGAGAGATTGACTGGCCCAAAGACTCTCATGAGCTTCCATCCTTAAGGATGAACTTCAATCTGGATCTCCCCAGTCTTAGTCCAGTCCCTTAAACAATATACCACACTGGGTCCCCTTTGTGATTTCCTTTTGTCAAACTCAGGGGGGAAAAAAACGGAAATAGACTAAGTATATTGACTTGGTGCTAGCCAGCATGATTTCTTTGAAACCACTCACACATTTAACAGAAACAGAGCCATCCTGTTACACTAGTTCATGTCAAGAAGGATAATGAGATGTTTATAAGAATGCTTTTGGAAACAACAAAAGAATGGATGCCACCTTAAATCTATTTTACCGTAAGCAAGTTTCCATTTTTAAGCAACAGCAGGCAGTATGGGCAGTTTATTATTCAAAGCTAGAAAAGCTCATCTTCTTTAGCCAAACATCTTATAGAAGTTTCTCTGTAGATGTGACCCAACCTTATAAGGATTACAAGAGGCAGTTGTAATGGTGAAAAGGCAATGGAGACACCTGCATGCTATCTTGTCCTCTGATATATTCCACACCAACAGTAGTACCACTAACTGAGAATCCTACCCATAATAGCAGTAACATCTGAATAGGCAGGGAAAAATAGTCATTTTGTTCCTTGTTTAACGAGGAAACCTAGCACCACAACTACCACTCCGCATCTACATATTGAGGTCAAAATTCTGAGCTCAATTTGATTGCTATAATCTATAACAATTATAACATGGCTCAAGGCTGATCACCCTTTAAAGTGGTTCATCTTTTTCAAAAGGATAAAAAGCACTTTGTGCTGCTATTTCCTTGGCTTATTCCAGCTATTTCCATACCTTTTCTAAACCACCTTTTTACACTCAGAGAATTTAAAGAAAAAGTGTAGACTCTACAATTCATAGAGAACTGAAGACCCCAAAAGCTTACACCATAATACTACATAGTTGGAAAATGTGCACTCTTCTCTTTGTATGTTCATTTATTCACTTTATCAGCACTGCTAACAGGCAACTGCTAAAGCCTTCCAGAAAAAATAATGAATTCACCTCTTTCTGTCTCAAGTATGTACTATTTCTTTTTTTTTTCATTTCATTCTGCCTTGCAGCGTTTTTCTGTGTTTTCAAGTCTGTAAAATGTAGTCAGTAAAATCTTAAAGATAAGTCTTAACATTTTTAAACTCACTGCTTCCTTCCGTAAAGGAAACGGGCCTTCTCAGTTTTAAAAAATAAGGTCGTATTTATAATCCACCCTGCTCAAGAACTATAAGCAGCCTTAGAAGGCTAAGTTTATAATGAGATACTATATTTGGAAGCCTACATTGCTAAGCATTTTGTAACATTTGACACTGTTTATTTCATTCACATCCTCACTGCCTCCTAATTAACTCGTCATGCTATGTTGTATTTTTTTAATCAATTGGTGGTCTATCGTTATAAACACTTTGTAAAATAAATATTTTCTGGGTAAGTAATAAAAATAGCCATTTAATCCTAGAAAAATATAGACTGGTTTTATTAAATGATTGGTAGATCAAGCAGTTCTGTGCTGAACTCAGAAAACATTGTGTTCTACTTCGGAAGTTCAACTACAGCTAGCAAGCTAGCAAACAAATGGTTGATTTAAAGTAGATGTTCTCATACTGCATAGTAGTTAAAAACCTAGTACTGTTTCCTATTTTCCCTCTCCATTTAAAGAGCTTCAGAAGATAGCATAACACTCTTTATTCATAAAAGACTCTGCTCAGGGCCCTCAAAAACAGTGTTTGATAGACAAGTTTCCACTCATGGGAAGCACTACCCTAAAGCAAATCTTCTAAACAAAATCACACAAGTAAACTTGGACAATGAGTGAAGTACAGTAAGACGTGGGAAAAGACACAGATATTTAAGTATATGTTTAGCGAAATTTACAAGTTCTCTTTTTAATCAAATTTCAGTGCAATGTGCTTTAGACTATTATGTTGCACAATTACTGTTCAACACCTCAAAACCTAATTCATTGCAAAATACAGCATTACCTGCAGAAATATGGACAATTTCAATTAATGAAAAATCAACAGACAGCATCTTGGAAGCATCAATTCTGTGCAACATATGTAGATTTATATAACATAGTGATATCAGGCACATATTATTTCTTACCTAAAAGTTACAGATAGGAAATAGGAAGGATTAACATTTTATACAGGGGTTTAAAAAAGCCAGGAATAGTATTTAACATAGTCCAACTTTTCCATATACAGTGGAACCTCGGGTTACAAGCGCTTCTGTTAACAAACTTTTTGGGTTACGACCAGCTCCGGCTGCAAAATTTTGCCTCGGTTTGCGAACTCCGCCTCGGGGTACGAACAGGATACACGGCCATTTTCCCTCCCGTGACACGGTCCGCGGCCATTTTTCCACCCCTGACACGTGGTCCGCGGCCATTTTCCGCCCCTGACACGTAGTCCGCGGCCATTTTTCCGCCCCTGACATGTGGTCTGCGGCCATTTTTCCACCCCTGACACGTGGTCCGCGGCCATTTTCCGCCCCTGACACGTGGTCTGCGGCCATTTTTCCGCCCCTGACATGTGGTCTGCGGCCATTTTTCCACCCCTGACACGTGGTCCGCGGCCATTTTCCGCCCCTGACACGTGGTCTGCGGCCATTTTTCCGCCCCTGACATGTGGTCTGCGGCCATTTTTCCACCCCTGACACGTGGTCCGCGGCCATTTTCCGCCCCTGACACGTGGTCTGCGGCCATTTTTCCGCCCCTGACATGTGGTCTGCGGCCATTTTTCCACCCCTGACACGTGGTCCGCGGCCATTTTCCGCCCCTGACACGTGGTCTGCGGCCATTTTTCCGCCCCTGACATGTGGTCTGCGGCCATTTTTCCACCCCTGACACGTGGTCCGCGGCCATTTTCCGCCCCTGACACGTGGTCTGCGGCCATTTTTCCGCCCCTGACACGTGGTCCACGGCCATTTTTCCGCCCGACATGTGGTCTGCGGCCATTTTCCCACCCGACACATGGTCCACAGCCATTTTCCGCCCCTGACACGTGGTCCGCGGCCATTTTTCCGCCCCTGACACGTGGTCTGCGGCCATTTTTCCGCCCCTGACATGTGGTCCGTGGCCATTTTTCCACCCCTGACACGTGGTCCGCGGCCATTTTCCGCCCCTGACACGTGGTCTGCGGCCATTTTTCCGCCCCTGACCCGCGGTCCACGGCCATTTTTCCCCCCGACGTGTGCTCTGCGGCCCT